GATCGCGCAATGAGTTTAACGATGATTTTTAAACGATGCATTATAGCAGTAAAAAATTAATGATTATCATATTTTAACAGTTTTATTTGGATAATTTTCTCTTACATGGAAACTGGTTTATTACTCACATTGACAATCTTTTGCGCACTCCTCTGGCTGATAATTATGGCTCGTGACGTTACACGCGATCGCGCAAGGCCTGCAATGCTGATCGAAAGGGCTGCAGTACTCCGAGATGTTGCAAAACTTCTCGCCGCATTTGATACCCCGAGGATCGAGGTCGGCCAGCAGGACGTTTGGCAACACGGACAGAGCGACGATAGTTGTCACTATCAATGTCATGCTGTTTACGGTTACCTCCAGGAACACTCAATCGAAGCAATACCGGGTCGATGCGCGATGGATTTAGTAGAATTCGCCAACCGGTTTGGCGCTCTTCCTTTTTCTAATTGTCCTTTTCGCCTTTCTTCTTCTTTCTCTTTCTTTATCTCGAATTACGGATCTAGGACACAATCATGACTTAGATGACTCTCTCGCGATCCACTGTCGACGCTCATGATGATCCTTAACGGTACTCGAAAAGTATACCTCGAAAAGGCTCCATACTCGTGGCGCTAAAAGGACAAAGAAACTTTTATTATATGTACCTGATTTGTAAATTTTATACTTTCTAAATTATACATGTATAATAGGACACTGAAAACTTATTGGTATCTTAATGTCTAAAAAAATCGACCAAAGAATTCGTCTATTAAACAATACAATTATAAATTCTCTGTTACGATTGCAGAGAGAAAGACTTTGCGATAATTTAATTATGTTTTAAATGATAATGTATTTATCATTTAGCGAGTTAGCTGACACTGACAGTAATAATGATGGTATATAACAGATTTTTAAACGTCCTAATGAAGACATGACATAACAATCAAAGAAAAACATATAGTTATGAATTCAGAGAGAGTTCGCTAGGTGTCTTAATCGTAACTTCAAGTAACATGCGATTCGATTTAGTAAGACTTTAAATGTTCTTATGGTTTTTCTTTTGTTTTTAATATTATCGCTACAACTAAAATAATTTTTCAGCAATCCCTACAAAAGAAGAATAACTTCTTCTTGAATTTAATTTATAAATCATGTTTGATGTAAAATGCCAGATGAAAAATATACAGTTATCGGATTTCGAAGAAGTCGCAAAGGAATATGAAAATTCGAGGGCGATTCGTACAGTGTGAATGTATTTAGAGAGAACTCATTTAGAACGATTCTATCGCCGGAGACCTCTGAATAGGCAAATGTATTTTATTCCGTTGGTTACGTCCGATTGCGTCGCGATGCCAGAAGATGCGTCAATGCCTGCAAAGTGACACGCATCACTTCAAACACCTGTGTTAACGCATACGTGAGCGCGGCTGGATGCATCAAAATGGCCTCCAGTGTCGCGCAACAGCGGAGATACTTTCGCCTACCTATACTGACGACCTCGTTTTATTGTCACATCCCGGACTATGTTTTATAAATTACCTGCGGCCTGTCGTTCTTGACAGTGCTTTATATTCCTTCGATTGCGTGACGTTTGCGTAGGTGACGGGACATTTTTTATAGAGTCAATAACGTACTTTCAACGGCTATAAATCATGATGGCATTATCGAAAATTGCAATAACCAGATCTATAAATCTAAAAAATTCTGCTGTCCAACGAATTTAAATAAACTGACCGGATAATGAGACAGGTATAAAAACCAGGTATGCTCGGAAAAGGTGTAATCCTTAGACGTTTTCGAAATAAGACATAATGAGAGACTAATATTCTCAGGGCCGCTTCATATCGCGGTTGTGACTCATTCCTCGTATCAACTAGCGAGGTAAACGTTTGCTTCGTTTCCTACGTAACTTCGTGGCAAAGGAAAATTGCTCTCCGGCGACTAGCTGTCGATCAAAGCCGAGAAGACCGAATTATTTCGATCAATCAAAATATTCAATCGCGATTTTTTCTCGGTGCTGTATTTTTCTGCTCATTCTGTTGAAAATCTGAGAGAATTAATCAATATTAATTCAAATTAAATATCCAAACTCGTAATTAAATATTTAATTTAAAAATTAAAATCGATTATGTCAAATTAGTGATTATTGCGATTTATAGGATTATATATTCAGATGTTTGCAATTCAAGGCTTATACTGTAGTTGCAAAATTCGAAAAAATATCAAAATGATAAAATATTGTCACAATTGAGTATGTCATAATTGCAACATAGCGATGCGTCAAGTTGTTATGAAATTCTCGGCCGATGTTTCGAAATATACACGATCATACGTGCCTTTTGTTACATTTTGCCAACGCTATTACGGCATATCGCGTGTCTTTAATGCGCAATCAGTTATCGGATATTATATGTTTCTGAAGAGCATAACTTCACTCGCAATTACGTGCGGATACACATTATAACGCGAATGCTCGTTGCAATTCACTACGTGAGATCAGCGAGCGCTATGGTACATCTGGTACCGAATGTACACAATACGTGTCGACGCACAATGCTTTAGGGTGTTGCCCGGTGTTGTAACAAATGGAAATCGAATGCGAACACATGGTACAACTTACTGGAATTGTCGTATAAAATAAAGCGACGCCGCGACGGCAAATTGTTTAAAGCAAACAGAATATAGAAATTAATATTGTAAAAGACCTGAAAAGATCAAGATTTATTTGTATCGGTATTTTATACAAGATACGTATATTTACGGTCACTTTTTATATAATATATTTCTCAAATTTCAAAAATATAACTTCTAAGTATAATAATTTCGAGTAATATCAAATTTGAGTTTGAAAAGATAAATCCTCGGGAAGTAAACTCGATATGATTTATTCAAATACGAGTATTTCTTGAAACGTAAAGAAATAGGAAAAGCATATTTGTCAGTATTTCTGACATTTATCAAATATGAATCGAGAAAATAAGTCATAAATTATAGATATAGAAGAATTTGTGCTACAGCAAACATGATCTTCATATTTTGTTTATACAACATTATCTTTAATATATTTCATATATGGCTAAATATTTCAATGGTTGCAATATATAATTTATATTATATTTTAATATAGTTCCTAAATAAAATAAATAATATAAAATAACGTTAATATATAAAGCTTATTATTATTATACTTATTTTGCGCTAGAAAACATATTTACATTACTGTGCGTTGGTTAAAGAAAACTCAGGAAAATATTAAATAAGAATTTTTAAAAAATTTCTTATGTCTTTCAAATTAATCAAAATGTTGTTAAAAAAATACATTAATACACAATACATTAAAAAATTATATGACATAAATTGGCTTCTGTAAATTCTTTTTTCTCGAAGATCTGATTTGCTGTATCTAATAATTAATAGTCATTTATAGATCCAAATCCATCAGACCAAAAGAATTTCAGTGGCAATGTCTCTTGAAGTGATTGAGAGCCTTATCTCCTTCGTCAATATTATTCTAGAACGTCGCGTTCCGACACGTTTGCAGACAAGCTCGCAGGTCCACTTTTCATTAAGCAGCGTCTCGATCTTGCTGTTTTTATCCCGCGATAACGGACAGCGTCGCTAACTGTGCTGCGCTCGACCTCTCCACATCGAACGACGTTCGCCGTGGAAAGTCCGAGTAGAAGTCAGAGGTAGGCGGTGGACGTGCACGGTCGGGACACAGGAATGTTGCCTGACTGGTTCACGAGGAGGCTTTTACGCATGGCGAACGTTACGAACCCGAATACGTCGTCGATATACTCGCGCTCAAACCTCAACTACGATCGAAGGAATGAATCACGAATCAAAGTCGTCCGAGTCTACCGGATATTATAATAACTAGCGCCATGTGTACTGATTATTCCTGGGCTGATATAACTGAGGAGTTGAACGAGGTAACAGCATAAATAATACTTGCGCTATATTGTTGCAGAAATTTCTATTTTGAAATTTTTGAACACGGGACTTTTCCATATGACAAACTTAAACGTTATGACTGACAAAACTAGAATTCCTTTTGCTCCTTTTACTTGTTTCCTTCTATCTTCTCGCAAGTTAGATTTTAGAGCTTAAACTTATTTTTTTCAAAACTATGTAAATATGTTATTATTACGTCCAGTTTTTAAATTAATGGTTGTTAACAAAGCAAACTCTTCGATTGATTCCAATTTTGAAAACATTTTTCTCTCAGTTCAAATATCCAAATACTAATAGTATTTACGTTGCAAATAAAAATAATATGACAAATAAAAAAAAACCTTGAAATTATCTTTGAAATCAAAGTCCTCTAAGTTTAATTTTACAGTCCATAGCGATGGATCAAAACACGCGATCTAAAGATATCGCCGGGCAAGTATCCAGCGAGAGTGCTTCCTGTAATTTAGCAAATAGCAATACGTAACTATTGCCACTACACATAGTTATTTTAATTAGACGGGATGACTCATATCGTCACACGTACTCGGTATCTCATTTCTCGTAACATCTTTTGCTCATTGATAACGCCGCGCATGCACGCAGCCTTGTCACGTTTACGTCAGAACAAATTGTCGCGGGAAGCCGCGTCACACGCGCGATCATCTTCCTTATGACGAAACGTCGCAAATGCTGCGGTAGCAATCTCGGAAAAAACTGCGTTCGCGAAGTAATCACGACACCGCGTTTTCAAATCTCGCGTAACCGACAAACTAGGACGAACGTCGCTCGACGAGCAACCACGTGCGATGAGCTACTAATTAGTTAGTCGCTCTCATTACGACGTCGTCTAACGCTCGGTTCGGATGGTTCAAAGATTTTCCACACTGATTACGATTGCAACGGTGTAACGTCACGCTCGATTGATTCGTCCTTGCACGAGCGAGTAAAGCTGCAATGCATATTTAACGAGTTTTCGGAAAGCATCGTCTGATATCGGAATTATGTAACTTATTAAAAACATACTACATGAGCGATGAACGACATAGATCCTTGAAAAATCGACGAATTCTTTGGCCATTTCCAGTCGATAGTTCTTTTAAAGAAAATTCGGCTGAGTGTCATAATCTTTTCATAACTTATTCCTTTCCGTAACCCCAAGCACAAAATTGAAATTTTGTCGAACAAAGATTTAAAAATTTTATCAAACTACAATTTTGAAATCTTGGAGCTTGAAATAAAATTCAGGACTATCTTATTTCATGCTATTTACGATTAACTTATTTTGACAACAGAATATTTTTATTTTCGACAGTTAACAACTTTCACTTTCATTAAACGGCGAGGGGACACTCCAAGTTAAGTAGAAAATCATTCAGGTAAGATTTTTAGTAAGTTTTCTCGAACGTCGTGTAAATTCTAGCATATGGTACCAGTGTTTCCAAGCAGTGAGGATCAATATTACACGTATAGCAACATTACACATAGAAGCAGTGGGTCGATACTGTACGAATAAATCGTGAAATTATCTCGATCCACGTCAAGCCCACCGGTCTTATTTATGCAACCATGTGATCGTTAAAATCTCCGCTCGTAACATCGTACGTATCCCGCGTGCTTTCGATATGCGCACTTCGTTCCTATACGCCGATTGGCTCTAATTCGATTCGAGCACCTCAGTAACCGGATTCTCGCGCGTCTAATGACAATGATAAGCTCGACAACAGTCGCGAATAACAATATATTCTCCCGATGGTAACGATATTCGCGATCGAATATGCGTAAATTAAAAGTATTCATATATTTATATCGAAAAAATATTAAAGAAAAGCGTCTAAAGAATCCTGAACTATTTAGACATTGATCAGACATATTTATTGTATCATAGACGTTATATATCGTGATTTAAAGATAAAGAAGAAAAAATTTAATCTACTTTCGGAAATAAATTATGAAAATCTCGCGCATTAACTTTGAACAAGTTCTAAGCTTCGACTAATTTTATGACGCAACATCAGGGAGAGACGAGTTGCGCCAAACTCCACTAAATCTTCACACAATTTTGCAATTACAATTACAAATGCGATTAGATCGCTTACCGAGGTCATCCGTGAAGCGCAGTCCTTCGCGCGCGCCCCGGATGTACGCACGCACCCACGCACCCGCGCGCGATCACGCGCTACGCACCCCGACGTCCTCGGATTCCTGCGTCGCGCGGAACGCGGACGCACAAGCGTACATCGTTATTCGCTTCGTATGCAAACTCGCGAACGCGCACCATCGACGGCCATCCGCGCTTGACTGTCGATCGCGAGAACGCCAAACCGAACGGAGTTATAGCGGTGGCGGCGAGTTCCCTCAGGTTTCCGAGACTCCCACCTCTTCGAGGAGTCACTTCATCCCCTCCAACCAGCGCACCTGTCCTCCCTGCCTTCGCCGTTCACCTATTCCTCTACCTCCCCCTGCGCGTTTCTGTTTGCCTTTTTTTCTCTCTCTCTTACCTGCCATTTACCTGTTGCCAGCTTGCGCGCGCACTCGCAATCCACGGTTCGAACTGCCATCGGAGATATTCACAGCCGACGTTGCTGGCACGTGTTGACGTGTCAAGTACGCGAGCACGTGACTCTGACCGCGGAAGATGCAAACGCATCCTCCGAAGTCCGAAAACTGACAGAAGTCTGATTTTTGTCTTTTTATAATGTATAATATCTGTCCCTTTTCAGAAAGAAATTTATAAATCTATTTTTTGCAATGTAAAAGGATACATATCTTTTAAAGTATAACATAAAATTATGTTTGTTATATATTTTTAATCGAGATAACTGGTATGAAACCTCCTTTCACATTATTTTTCCATAAAATTACCTTCTATTACAAGAATTTAAACCATTCGACTAACGGCGGCAATATACACGAGATAAATCCCAGGTAGCAGAGTAACGTCAAATGACGCATTCCGTCTTAATGACGTCTCCAATATCATCGAGACCTCTTTAGACGTTTTGCTACCTGGATTTTAATATTTGTTATCGATAAAATATGCTCACTTGCAATGCGAAACGTGATAACGATGTAAGACAGTTATGCAAATATAGATATCGAGGCAGTAAAGCGTATACCCGTACGAATAGTGGGATGACGACATACATATTTATTGCGTATTAAATGTTCATACAAAGATATAACAATGACTCTCGCGTATTCGCGGCGCTACAGGTGCTAACATTATTATTGCGGATTAATATTGTTGTTCCGGAGGAAACGAATTATTGCGCGCAAGAAGGGTTGATTGAGGGGTCGATTTGTCGGGTGGGAGGTCGATATGTCGAGCCACTTTGGTGCTGTCGTTTCTGCTTTGTATGGAACGGATGCTGCGAGCCGTCGGGAATTCCTTAAAACGATTTCGGAAGGCGAGACTCTCGCGGGCGTCGGCTCATCGTTGACTCTATTCTTCGTTGGAGCTTCGATATTCGTGTTAAATCGCTTCAAGAGATCGCGCGATGCTTATCGAATTATTGCGCATTGCACGACGATATGCGCGTGAGAGCGCTACTAAAGAACAAAAGGAGAATCCTAAAAGAGATCCTTGAAATCCCTCGCGACACCCCTGGTTGAGTATATTGCTCATTGACCATAGGTACCCGCCGATTATCGCGCTAACGTTGGTCCCCCATAATCATTGAAGATATACCCAACGCGATTGTGCCCATTGTTGAAAATTGTTGCGTTTTGAGTCCTCCCCATTGTCTGTGTGTACCGCTATTGATTCAAAATGTATAGCCGAATGATCGTCAGAACATCTCGGTGGACCGTGGGTATCAAGACCACTTCCGGAGGAAGTGTTTTTTTCAACCAGGGACGTATCCGCGATGTGGACGACAGCAATTCGCGGGATCGATTGTGAATGATCGGGAGGATGATTCGAAATGAGCAGAGATGAATTCGGTTATCAGCGAGCGGATCCTTTTGCGGAAACCCCCGATCGCATCCGATCGGTTTCTAGTATAGGAATGAAAATCTCTATGATAGTCAGAGAGGACCTCAGTTCGATAATTTGTGCGTTTAGCTTTTGATCGTTTGTGATTTCTAACACAGTAATTGTCGTGAACACCCTGTATAAAGTATTCCCTGCTGCTCTCGGTCGTCCTGGCTCGATCTCTTCCTGTTAGCTACTGAAAACACGATGCAGATGTTTTGTTTGCTCTTTTACGGTTTTGGCGTAATGTTGATATCGATTGACACGTTCCGTTCGCGCGTGAAACTTGGTGAACTTCGTTGGGCGCATCCGACGCACCGTAATCTACGCACGCAAACCACGCATACGACACACCCTCTTCTTCGTTCAATCCGCCTCTGTCTCGAGCGAGTTCATTCCGGTTTGAAACGTTCCGATGGGGAACTGACGGAGAAACACACCACGGTTTGACCCCGTTTTCAGCCCACCAGCGCATACTCGTTGACCGCAGGTACCGGAAATTATCGTACCGATGCGATGGTTCTTGCCGTCATTGAGGATGCACTCGGCGATTGTCGATTGATGGAACATTAGTCCCTTTGGTTATCTAACACGAGCCGCTGGGTGGAATAATGATATAACTCGGTAACAATGAATCATAAATTTTAGGGAACATAACATCTAACTATCCTTATGTTTTGTATGTTAATATCTCTATAACCGTATTATACTTATTTTTTTTTTTTAATATCCGATTATCCTCTGACATGAATTTTTAGATTTAAAAAATCGAGGAAACGTCGAAAAGATGGACAAAAGATGTATCATCTTCAATTTGTCATGCCCGATGGCTCATACGTCGCAAATGACTATTACGGGTTTATTCCCTCAGTAATTATGGGCAGCAAGGGCACTTTCGCGCAATTTTCCAACCAAAGCAATCATCTCACATATACGCACACTCTCTTTCTCTCTCTCTTTCTCTCTTTCGCTCCGAAGCGCATTCGTGCGCGACACGCGTTCAACGCGAATCGAGCGGGCGCCAGATCGCGATTAATCATTATTATTATTACGATTGCAATCCGTAATTAGTGAACGGGTAGCGCATAGTTGCACATTCAACATATCGTGATCGGAAAGGCTTTTCACGTTCCATTCCGCAACCATTATCGGATTTGTTTTCATTGCGAGATAGTTCTACTAATGCTGTCGATACGAACCGGGTAGTTTCTGTATCCGAACAACTCGAACTCGATCGCGAAGTTAAAGTTCAAAATAAAAATTCGCGAAAAACTCTTCACCTTGAATCACATCACGAATTTTAATCCAGAAAAGATCGACAATTTTTTATCCTTAAACTCGTTAAAATTTAGAAATTAGTAATTTTGAAGAAATACATCTAAAAAATTACCTTCCGAATCACAAATTTAGATGGTAATGGTAATGTAATGTCTCTTACAAGAATAGAAAAATAAAAATTGTTGATGTCTCGTTCTCAATCGCGATCCACCGATGGACAGATAGACAATATAATCGGCGATATAATCACCGTATTACACACGTATGTTCTACGAATTAAGTTGCCTTTGCGTGTTGCAGATTGCGCGAGGGTGCAACAGCAAAAAGCCTGGCCGGAACTTGTACGTTTACCGTTTATCCTTGCGAGCGAACTAGCGGCCGCGACTACATATGTTCGTTCGGACCTTCGTGTCGCTCGTTTCGCTATAGACTCGAATTTTCGTCTGTGTACAATCGAACTCGTGCGATTGATTTAGTTTGAGGAACGATCCGACGAGATATCGGCGCTCTGCGTCGGTATATATCGCTTGCCAGGAGTGACAATGTGAGTTTCATCAACGTCTGCGGGTAATTCGATCGCATACGCAAGCTCGAGCTTCGGTTTCTTGCGACAAAGCACTTCAAGTTGTGGCCAGTAGCTTTCACGAAGAAGAAGAAGAAAAGTAAGACGATTTCTCGGGTGATAGACGGAAAAGATAAACGGGTAAAATAAATTGTCAAATTATATCAACAACACTTAGCAATAGAATAAATAAAGCGCCGAAATAATATGAAATACAACACATCAACGAAACACACTCTAGTCCGGGGATAGAAATAAAAACACAATTGTAAACGTTCCGTTACCTGATCATTTTTATTGTTCTTAACAGACGTCGATGAAATTCGCACAGGACTAATTTGCGTTTTTTCTTACTTAGATTCAGTCTCTTCACAGACCACTGCGTTTGCCGTATTAATTCGTGACTACATTAATACAAAATATATTTTATTATAATTTATGTAGTTAATTAATAATAATAATATTTATAGCTTCTTTTACACTGGTGGCCACGAAGAACCCGGCGTCTGTCTCGTTTTCCGTTCGGTTTTTCGGATTACAGGGTGAAAGAGGAAGAAGCGGGGCACCGCGGTGTCGACCTGAAGAATCAAGATTGATTAACCGCTATCAAAGTTGATTTTCAAACAGCCGACGGGCCACGGATAGACGGAATAGTAGGGGTAGGGAAACTTGGAGAGGAGACGCGGGATTTTGGCCTAAATAGACATATTTACACGAAAGGCCGAAAGGACAATTTCATTTTTTTTTTCGCGCAATAAGCGTATTCCGAGAGGTAATTTCGTTGATTTCGACTTTAACTTGAATTTCGTGAAAAATGGAGAAGTTTACGCAAACGGATCGGGGATGAACGCCGCGTTTGCGGGCCACCCTTCCTACAGAAGATTGTTTTTTTTTTCATACCCATTCACGAAGAATTTGTTATCCTAATATTTAGTTCTATAAAGCGCTACTATATTCTAAAATTTAATGCAATTTGTGTTCGTGTCTCGTGTAAGTGTATGTGTGTTTTTCGTATATTATCTGTTGTTACGTGTTATATATCTGTGTAAGATCTGCACTTCTTCGATTTAAAAAATTACCGCTTCAAGACATGACGCGTAGGCGCTACGTTCGACGTTAAATAAATATATAATCAATGAAAAAATATATCATTAAAAAGTAGGTATACAAATAGGGGGCAGGGGATTTGGTATTGTTCTTTCGACGAATCATAATACATTGCGTAAATAATTTCTCTCGCGTCCATACCCTGCACACTCCACCAGCTCCCGCCAATCCGCCTTTATCTTAAATGACTTTCGCATTATTATTCGAAAAACATTACAATCGTTATTACGTTAAAAACTTCCACATTATAAATCTAGAATGCACGACAACGTTCGCACCTGGTGATGCTGCACCCACGAACTTCGGCACTATCGATTTTTTCCGATCGATAGTATATAATTACATATATCCCGAATATAAAATTAAATTGTACAATTTAGAACATGCATATACATATTATGTATATATATCTGTTTTGTATTTAAATATACCTCTTTCTTTTTGTTTTACCAGTTTTACCACATGACCAACTTCGTTCTCGCAACTTCTTCCTTGTTCGCCTTCTTGCACATTTACATACACTTCTTCTTCTGAAACCTTTCTCACTCATTCTCTCTCGTTCTCTTACTTCAATGTTACGCGTTCCACACATTTTTATAATAATTATAATTGAACCTCATTTTCCGAATTCGTATTAACCAACAAATGCCTCACGTAACCGAAACATCTGTAAAATATGAGATCATGTCTGCCAAGGGACACGCTTTCAACTTTTCGGCGCGCGCGTTATTACAATACCACGAGAATCCGCGAGCGTGTTCCCCGGCCCTCGACGTAGGCGCGCGTCGAGGATCCTTACACTAATTGTATTGTATTTCTTAGATTCATTAATGTAATGGGCTCTTCGTACCGCAGCGAAAATTCGCGTTTCCGAGCCGCGATAAAAATTTTGCAAACAAAATGCGAGATACCCTCGAGAAACCTATGTTCCATTTCCGTTGCTCCTGTCCCGTCGACAAAGTTGTCTCGCTTAATTTTGAACATCTTGGACTCGGAAATAATCGTGAATCTCAATATTATCGTTTTTCCAAGTGATTCCGCCTGACCACAGTCTTACAGCTAATGAACGGAACACGCGGACGCTTCATGCACTCTCTCCTATCTCTCGATTTGGTCGATTCTCTCTCGTCATTTGAACCCGTCGTCGTTGTCGTCGTCGTCGTCAGGCGACAAAGTCGTGTAGTAGCTAATCGCGCGGTTGACTCTGTCGCGCATTCTCTTCGGAGAAACGACTAAACAGAAGAAACATTCAGTACGCGCAATGTGCGCCAGAAAGGAAAACGAGCAAGTGAAAAAGATAAGGGAGGAGGGGGAGACCACACGACAAAAAATTTCTCTCTTTCTTTTTTATATATACACATACATACCCACAATCAGACGCACACATCCAAGCAAAAAAGCCAAATTTTGTGTTTGTATTCGTCTTGTATTGCTGGTTTACTACGATATAGTTCTACAACTATATCGTACTTCGCGATACGCTTCTACTTTCTTCACTCACTATTTCTCTCTTCTTCTGTCTCTCTCGCAGGCATACCGATGATACAACACGCATCACCACACGCATACACGCGCGCGCTTTTCCTTTCTTCTCACGGAATAACTTCGCGAACGACGATGTCGCCGCGCGCGGTTAGCAATCTAATCGTACGCGCCATGCTTGCACGAACATGAACATGTAGAAAATGGAAAGAAAAATAAAGAAACGAATACGCGATGCCTCTTTGATCGTCTAGACGCGTTTGTTTGATCGCTGAGACTCTGAAAGGGAAATTAAAGAGGAGTGAGGGTATTCGGGAAGGTCTAGACGACAAGATGGATCCTTACACGACGACTCCCTAACACAGTACAATTAAAAACATCGAAGAGATTTCGTTTCGCGTGAGGATCGCTGTCAGCGGACATCGACGCCGCGCTACTCTGTACATCACTGAGCGGAAACAACAGAACAAACGTGAAAAGTCGAAACAAACGAAGAATTTTTCGTGCGACAGCGATCCTGCGGTTCCTTCCCGCGGCGGTCGTGTCTTTCTTCGCTATTGCGTGCCTCGCGCCCAAAAATTGGTCGTTCTGTTGCACGGATCAGCCGACCCAGTGACGTCACACACACACACACACACATATACACATGCTGCGTTATTAGAACAGAGTCGCGATCGAGGGGTGACTCAACGATGGATGATGCTCAAGCCGTGTCGCTTCTTCTCCTTCGCTCTCGTCGTTCCATTTCTTTTCTTCTTGCTTCTCTCTCTCACTAACGAAACAACCATATGTCTTCGCGTCCGCTTGAACATCATCCTGCTGCTTTTGCTACTGCCGTTGCTGATCGCGCTACAAATCCCATTTGTTGTAACTGCAGAAACACAGGTTCCAGCAACCCGATCGTGTCGTGCGAACATCGCCGCGATTTCCGTTGCCGCCACCACCGTTGCTGTTGTTCCCCAGACGATTGTTGTTGTTGTTGCTACGGTGCACCATCACGATGTTGTCGGTGATGGTGGCGGGGTCGAGGGACCCGTTGGTAATGGCGCAAACGGTAAGCAGGCGATCGCTGTCGACAACACTAACGGGTCGCCGACTGTCCTATACTCAAATGCTGCTCGAGTTACCGCTTGGTTCGGCGGCCTTGTCGATGCTGTTGATCCGCTGGCTACTGCTCTCGGGCGGCGACGGTGACGCCCCGCCGTCCTCTGGCTTGTGCAACGGCGGTTTCACTCCGTTCTGCACGTAGTGAGTTAGCCGGGTAGGCAACGAACCCGCGTTCAGCTGATAGAATTCGACCAGCTGTAGTAGATCGTAGAACTTGGTCGTTCCCTTATCGAGGGTGTATAGCCAGCAGTTGCGACGCTCATCAAAGATCTGAAAGGACCAATTCGGATGTGAAGTTAATATTATATATAAATATAATCTATTAAAGAAAGATATTACGAAGTTGCCCGAAAAATCTCAAATCGAATAGAATGATTCACAGCATGAAAAAACAGCGCGTACTTTTTCAGACGACAAGAATAAGGAATGACTGAGAGATTAAAAATAGCTAGAAAACTCTGTTATCGAATCTCTATAAACCGCTGTAACTGTGTTGGGAATTGATTTATTGCATTAAATAACACTGGTATGGTTAATATTGAAATAGGATCTGTAATATCGGTTTATCCGACGGAATTAATTCAAAAGATTGGAACTTTTTTTTTAGGAGTTTGTGTTAGCAATTCGCTCACGAGAAAGAGAGAAAGAGAGACGGCTTTGGTTTTAAAGTAAACGATCAGATAAACTTTTTCGCGTTTAATCGCCGCGAAGTTAACTCGACCGCAAAAAAGATCCTCGACTAATTATTGATCAGACGCGGATACTTACGGGCTGGATTTGCGCGTGAAAGACCTTGTCGTTGTACTTATAGGTCAGCACGAAGGCCCCAGGATTGCTCTTGCTCTCTCTGACCAGAAACACGCTGAAAGTACAGAAAATAGAATATTTTAGAATTCTGAAAAACGCGACAAAAATGTAGTTATAGCATTAAGGCTTGAGTCAACTTTTTCGATTTTTTTCTTATAAAGTTTATTTCTCAGAGATCAAAATTAATTAAGAATAATTTTAATAATAGTTCTTTTTTTACACGATCCAAATAGATAATCGGTATTGATTATACAATAACAGCGACGTCGGTACATTCATGAAAAATTTACATTGCTTGGTGGGGCACGTACTATCTCTCACCGTAACTTTCAAGTTTTCTAGAAACATTCAAATGATACGTATACCAGAGACCGAGTAAGAAAAAGGGTTAAGAGCTGCTTAGTCAGACGATATCTGAATACAGGACTAGTCGGGAGATTCAGGAGAGATAGCTGTGCTTTTTGCAGCATGCAGAGACCAGCACGCTGCACCGGGTGCCTAGATGTTTGATACCGGGGAGGATGGCGAGACTACGGCTCGTCCAGGCGTATCACAGTATAAATTAGTATGGTCGTAAAAGGCAGCGGGACGAGTAGAGTGGTTTAAAAAAGACGGCAGAGGCGAGGGGCGAAGATGGAGGTCAGGGGGATGCAACGACGAGGACAAGACCGACCGGTCGGTCACGAGGCAGATCGGTTGCAGCGAGAAACAAGAGAGAGAGAGAGAAAGAGAAAGAGAGAAAGAGAGTCGCGTCGTAAAACGATCGCAACGCGGCCACGCGATCGTAAAACTCCAAGTGGAAGAAACGGTTCTCGCTTCCTTCCTGGCACTCTCGCATTGAGAAATCCCGTTGCCGCTGTCGCCGAAGAGAGAGACTTGCGGTCCCTTTTGCGATAAAATATCATCAAGCACATGCCCATTGCCCTCTTCCGATAAATATTTGATACTACACGACGCGCTCGTTAACAAATATTACGCAGCACAACGGCGATATGTCCACAGGAAATTCATTGTTATTTACGTAATTTTTGTACGAAGCGATTCGTTATTTCATAAATTGGAAGAAAGGCTTAATGCTTAAGCTATTTTGATAATTAATTCGTAACAATCCTGAAATCCCTATATAAAGTAAAAAAAATTTTTTATTGTAAGAACGTTATTACTTTCCTCGACAAAATCCTAAGTTTCATCCATCAGATTAGCATTTCCTTGAAATAATGTGTCATATTTACTATCTATTGTAAGGCTAAATTCTTGGGGAAAAAGAATCTGAGAATCACGATGCAAGATCGCACTCGGGCGACCCATTTTTTTAGTATCTCGTCCGGATTATTCATGTGTAGTGACGATAACGTTTGCTAATGTCCGGTATCGTCTCTCATCAACCCCAATGCTCGTCCAATGGAATATTCATGCGAGTGAATATTCCACGTCCGCCAGGCAGGCAGATAACATACCGGCAGTGGTGACTCGTAACTCCGGCTACGGAACGGTAATGTCCAAGAACTATCCCGAGTTAGAGGATAACGATGTTATCCTTATAGGAGGGCTCTCATATAGTACAAAGGGGCCTGACGTCCGTCGCTAGGATATGTCCTCTCTATCTCACGAGCTGCCCGAGCTAACTCGCAACATCGAGAGAGACAAATGGCGATTAGTAGACAATGCCCGGGGCGGAATCGATTAGAAGGTTTTTTGCATCTAACGACGACGACGACGACGACGACGATCGTGACACGAGACAACGGGAACTCACGAAGAGTGAAGAAACTCGCGAGTGCCAGGTAGGAAGACACAAGGCGGGACTCTCTCACCGCTTCTCCCCTTCTCCTTTTTTCCCCGTCATTGTCGAGATGAAGAGAGAAAGGACGAGGAAGAGAATACGGCGGAGGCGGCGAGGCGGGTGTACGATCGAGATTATGCAAATTTATGCAAGGGCCCCCTGAACGAACGTAAAACCCGGAGACAACTACGTGATCCCCGAGCACTCAATTACCCACGGCTAAGCGCGACGAGATAGATGGAGAGAGTCGTTAATTAACCATTTATCCGCGATTCCCGGCGCTAGTACGGCGAATAAAAGATGAGATCGAGGAGCAAGGAAGAGATAAGAGGAGAGGACGAGCGACAAACCGGAATATCGGCAAAACGCCGCCGCGCGCGCCGCTCGTTCGGGTCGTGACCGCCCGCGAGAGGAGGTCACCGATGGATGATCGACGTGCCGGAGACGTGGACTCGATCGTTGGATGAGATGTATACTCGTTAGGCAAGCGACCAGAGAGAGAGACACGAGAAAGAAACACGATACGCAGGTCGTTAGAATTATATTAGCGTGCAACTCACTTACTTGAGCTCGTGCAGTTTTAGAAATTTCCCTTTTCTTTTCTCTATTATTTTCTGTATTATTATACCTTGAAACTATACTGTCCTCATCAACTGCTAAAGATTATCACGCATCTATGACTCTGCCCCGTTCCATACACTCATATGTAATACACACTCCGGGGAGCAATGCCCCGTCTCTCGAGATTGCCTACGCGAACATAATGAAATCTGATTTAAGATATTAATAATTTCCTAACGTTTCAAGGGCGTGTCCACACGTGTAACGCTCGCTGAGATTACCGGGTCAATATGGGTTAAATGCAAGGGTCAATATGGTACGCGGTGACGGATTCGACCCAGGACAAAATGACATAGAGCCAGTGAGAGGAAAAAAAATAAAATAAATAAAAAGGCACAACTGGCAAGAGGAGACGAAATGGTGAAAGATTTATTACGTTCTGAAGATGGCTCTATCTAAAATATAATAAGGAACAACATGGAAGAAAAAGCATTTTACATAATAAAGTGCTATATCTAATGAACTTCATTTTTGTCGATGTTTCTTTCCTCTCAAGTTTCTGCATGTGCGTAATTTATTGTTTATACATAATATTCTCTTATAAACTTTAGGTTAACAGAAAAAAGTATCCGCGTTATTATTAGAATGTACCGGCAAAGCATTTACCCTGCATAAGAAAACACAGTCGACGATCGAGTCTGCGATATCGCGATTAAAATTCAAATACGGCGAACAGCCGCGAGCGAATTAGCAAATAATAAGATACTAAAATAACAGAGAGACGAGAAGCGGAGGTGGGCGAAAGAAACAAAGTATGCTCGATAGGAATTCATCGTGATTTACGATCGCTCGTAATAATCGCGAGGATTACGCAAGCGTCAGCCAGGCATGTCGCCCGCGCTAGCAGCTTCGAGGTCGTAACTCTCAACCGGTTTGAGGCGGGACCCTCTCCCGCCCGGATGATGACGGTTATCGTCGTTAGCATCGGCACGATCCGGGATTTTCGGGCAGCATCATTAGATCATTACAATGACGATGCCGCTGTTGCAATCAGCGACGACGCGTTATCAATCGCGGGCGTGACCGCGATTAGACGAGAAAAAAGCAGCGTACCTCCACAAGTGTAGTGTTGAGAAAATTACGATTGAAGATACAAGCTTAATTCTTCATCATCGTGCATGATGAATTATACCCAGATCATTAAATCGTGTCAAATATTTTACGAACTTAAGTATGTCATTTTAATTACGTAATTAAATCACGATCATAATTTTTGTATTAATTTAAAATAGACTCATTCATCAATAGTAAAAGTTCCATTAGACTCCATATATATTTTTTAATTTCTTATTAAATTTTTTACTCTTAAAAATTTAATTTTATTATATAAACCAATTTTCTTCATGTATATATATATATATATATATATATAATTAAGTATAAGCAGAATCTTTTTCAGACTTTTAATTATATATAACTTTGAGTTATATCTCAGCAACTTCCACAGACTAGAACGAAGAATAAAACTTTGCGATCTATTTAATTCACTTCGAAATTTAAATCGCGCTTTTCGCGAAATTGACTTCAGAAGTTGATTAATCGACAAGATTGAACTTACCCGTCGACGCTGCCGTGATCCCTTATAATAGCCGCCGCGACATCCCTCTTGAGGCCGCCGTGGAACCAAGGCTGAAGAACGTGTATACCGGCATCGAGGCCGTGCAGCCTCATCATCGCGCATCCCGGTGGTGTTCGCGAAAACGGCCGCCATCTCCGTCGCCAGACCATGCCTTCGTTTTCGGCTATGTCCTTGGCTTCCTTGGGATCCTCGACTATCCTGCCCACGCTACCGGTAAAATCCATCGCCACGCGTGATCGTATCGATTCCTGCAACAAAAAAGAGATTTGATATCATTCGTCTTTTCTTAATCATTCATCTTGCACTGATACCTTCGAAAGCTGAAACTTAAACCAAGATTTCATTTAAATAAAGTCTTCGATATCGATTGAGAAAGTTCCGTTCTCCATGAGCAATTCTAAAAAAATTATTATATATCAGTATCAACATATATTGAGAAAAATCTTTTATTTAACGAGAAGAATCGCCGCGATTTTTTTCAAAACAGTTTATTATCACGCATGGATACATGGATATGTTCCCGGTGAACGATGCGATGCACCGCCGGAGTTTCAGCGTGCTCAATGATCCCGGGATAAATACGTCCATCTATATCCCGAGTATGAACGTGAGTTTGAGCGTTTCGACGTTCATCTCCTGGCAAACGGAAGCCCGTCCTTTACGAGCGAGGACGATGAAGGGGGCGAGCCCGTTCCGGGCTGCCGCCAAACGCTTTTATTTGGGATTAGAAGCGCGGGTGGTTTCCAGTCCGGTAAATAACTCGTCCTGCAGGGCGAGAGAAAGAGGAAGGAGAGAGCGAATTCTCTTCCTGTTTCCATCCCTTCCGCTCTCCCGGTGATCCATTGGCGAATAAACCGCGCCCCGCGAATCTCCCGTAAAATTATGACCCGAACGCGATACACAGCCGGTAACAATCGCAAACGATAACTCATCGCCGCCCGCCCCGGCAATAATTTTCTCCGCGGAACTCTTTCCACGAACCGCGATTCCACAATCGACGCGGATAAAGAACACCGATGCCCGAACCGAGTCTCGATATCGCGCGAGACGATCGCAAGCGTTATCGAGATAGCTTGGAACACCTTTACAATAATGGAGTACGATTGAGATCCCGTGGATGAAAATACCCGCAATTTCTAGCATTCGGATGTATCCCAGAATCATACTTATCGAAACCACATTTCACGATTTTGAAATTGTAGCTCGAGAGCACCTGTGACATCTAATTTCACAGCGCCGATCAAAGCCGTGAGTATTCGGCGTCTATATATTCCGAAATTTCAAACGTAAATTATATCCGGATATCTGACGGTAACGGTATATTGGAAGCCCAGTGTGGACGTATCCCGAAGGATAATTTGCGTCGTCGCATAAGCAACCTCCACGCTATTCCCTCGCTCTTTAGGTCCTTGATAACGAGCAAAAAGCTGGAGCGCACGTAGTGGATTAGTCGGTCGTTAAAATAAATAGACGCTCGCGGCGCGAGTACGTACGAGGGAGAGAATTACGGGAGAGAGAGAGAGAGAGAAAGACAGTGAGAGATATGGGGGAGAAGAGAGGGGTTAGGCGTTCCTCATCAACCGGAGAATTACCGTAGAGCGATAACTCGAGGGTGCTTTCAGGAGCCCGGAAACCGGGAAAGCCGGTGCGCGGCCCCGAGCATACGCCCGTAACGTGGCCGGCCGCGATCGATGTTCAACCGGCTCTCTCCAGTTCGGCTTGCTCCTTCTCTAAGCTGTTATACGTCCCATCTTTCTCTCCGGAGAGAGAGAGAGAGAGAGAGAGAGAGAGAGAACAAAGAAAGATAGAAGTATCTACGCGATAGGCTTTCATCCTGGCCGGTGTGGCCTTGACACCGGAGTGACCCGATATGCCCCGGCAATTTAGAAACCGTGTTCCAAACACACTGAAGAGAAATCTATCTCATGTATGAGACTTCTTCCTCGTTATTTTTTATAATTTAACAATAATACAATAATACATTACATACATAATTATATAATAATATAATACAAATAATATTCTGGATATAACGTGTAAAAATGTAGATATTTTTATGTTTTCTTTTCAATATTTTTTTCATGAATTCTTTAAGAAAAAAATCAGCCTTGAATACTCGTTACTTACTGTTTTATTCATTCCCTCTCGCTCGCTCACGTTATTTAAACAGTAATAAAGGAAGTTGAAGGTGTTGAGTATCGCAGATACAACAGAAAGTTAATAACGGTGTACTATCAGGAAGACTTCTGCAGGTAAAATTGATTTTTACACGGTACACTGAGCGATATCAGGACGAACGTTTAGCGTTAAAGCCTGGCGGCGCAGCCCAGACCAATCTAAGTCCGGCCACGTGTATATAATATTTTAAGGGATGTCCGACGAGCGAAGTTAACGCGGCGAGCTCCCCGGGTTCCGGGTGAGTTTACTACTTCCGGCCCAACTTCGTCGGTTTAAACACATAGAGGAGAGCAAGAAGGAGAGAGAGAGAGAGATAGAGCTTTCCCTGGCTCGGCCAGGCTTCCTCGTCGTGTTTTATCGTTATTACAAGCTCCTTCGAAGTTTACGACTCTGTGCAGCGGATAACGTTCTCCGCCCTTCCTCCCTCTTATCCTCGTCAACCCCCTCGTCGTTCGATCAACCTCTACACGAAGCGTTAGCCGTCGGAAATGACGCGTCCCGGTTGCACGACCACCGCGCCGCCCGTGCCCACCCCCCATAGCACATTTCCCCTCGTAAAGGAATTTCGTTATGTCGCTTATGGAAAGTCGACGTCACCTCGCAAAGGACATAAAAATCGTCGGTGCATCGACAAGCTATATTACGAGCTCTTCATCCAATTTACTAGACTTCGACATTAAACATTTAGACAGTTATCTCAAGTTTTCGAGTTCTGCTAAAACGCATTTAAAAATAAGCGAGGAGTAAAGATTCATTGTCTGTGCATATCCCCAAAGTTTTCTTAACATTCTTTATTCATAAAAAAATCGTTAAACACTTAATAATGTTATTGAAAAAGCAACGTAATTATCCTTCTTGAATAATTATGCATTAGAAAAAAATACAAACATGTATTATAATGTAAAAACAACAAATTTCGTAACTTTTAACAAAAATTAAAAAAATAATTAATATTAATATTTATTGTAATAAATGTAATAATACACTAAGATTAAATGCGATTCAAATAAACTTATAAAACTACATCACAAAAATTCTTTACTGAATTTCAATTGATTTGTTGATTCGTTTCACAATATACCCAAAATCATCCTCGAAATCACGACTTTCCCCTCGTAACGAAACTTCGCTGACTCGCGAGATTATCAGTGTTTCGCGCGTGAATACTTTTCCCCGGAGTACCACTCCGTCGCATTACTTCGCTTAACGACATTTTAAATTGTCGCCAATGTAACGGTGATATTACGAAATTGCGAGGTGATATTGCACGTCGCGACAACGACGTGCGTGTATGCGCTTCTCAGAATATCACGTGTATGTTCCACCAGCGATTGGATTTCCCTTCGCTCGCCATCTCTCCTCCGCTCCTTCGCCGTTTCCGCAGCATTTCGCGACTCCCTCGTTATCGTGGATGCCTAACGTTGTTTTACGACCGATAAAAGCATCCCTCCCTTGTCTGCTGGTATCGTTTTACCCAGAGCTGCATGGCTGCTAGCTGCCACGCAGTGTCTGCTGAGCGGAGTATGAGGAATCAGCAAATGAGATAAATTCTGTCCGGTTAATTATCCTCGCGATTTCGCAGTTTGTCGCTCACGTCTTATATAAGGCAATAAAAATAAAATAACACACATAATATAAAGCCAGATGTACAGATAATTATTTTGTGCAATATAAAATGATAAGTTTGCAATACAGCAAGAGAATAGTGCAAGAAGTAACCGATTTTTATGTTAAAGGCTTTAAATAATTATTTTATGAATTATTCTAATCTCTTTTCAATCTTTATTTCGTCTTTCATTTAAATAAGATACGATAACAATTATATTGGAGGCATATAGTACATATATATAAAATACAGCTCTATCATTTTAGAAGCTCTAATCTCTCAGGCGATACTGATTAATTACAACGCTAAAAGGCAAACCTGCGTCTTTTCCAACTTTTGGAAACTTCGATCTTCATTGCGGAACAGCCTGGCAGTTACCGATTAGAGACGCATCGACCGATCAATAGTCGTTCTTTCCGCGTGTTACTGGGTTACTATCTCGCTTCGTAGCCGTGTGATAGCGTAATGCGCCGAGAGCGTAGTCATAAACGAGGTAAAATGCTCGTAAAACCGAGTTTTTAACGCGTTATTATTTAATCACAGCGAGAGTAAAAAAAAAACTCTACAGTAAGATATTAAAATATTTTTTCAGATCGAAGATTGATCCTCCGAATTCAAGAAACCTGATCAATTAAAATTACGGTGTTGTTGGAAGCATCCAACAGATTTCCAACAAAATTATATGTGCTCATACGTGCGTAATGTTAATTGATATCACGTCTTCTGTTTACATTAGGGATAAAGAAGGGTAAGAGCTCGCTTCTCTCTGTCGAAGCTCTCACAAACACGCGGTGTCTCGCGAGCGTCGCGAGTTCGTACGGCTCTTGCATAATAATGTAGAGGGTCAACGACGGTCGAAGATAAAGCCGTCAAAGAAGGAGGGAGAGAAGTGGGAGATTGCACCTGGAGACTCGCGACTCGACTCGCGTGATATCGATTCCACCGGCGACCGGCCGTATCGCTATCGGCCACGTGGACGCGTTGCTGGTTACACGACCGAAGAGATAAAAGGATTCCTTGGAAGCGCACGCAGAACTATATGTGCGGAAAACTTTCGCGTCGGTTTCCATTATATTTATACTCGGAAAACACCGGCCGGTCGGTCGGTCGGTCGGCATTTGCCGAGAGATACGCGGGGAAGGGTTTATCGAGGCTATTTCCGGTAGTACACCACGAGGGTTTATCGCTACGCCACCTCCTCCACCTCACACCATCGAGAGCGACACGAGAAACGTTCGGACTAATATTTTGCAGAAATAAAACAAAGCCGCAGCATGACGGTTCCGCATTTACTTACAAGCTTAATCCGACAATACTTTTCTGAAAGCTTGCATTAGAACAATATATGTCATTTCTAATTCGATTTTACACGAAATTTCCTATTCGTCTCAATAACGTTTTCGACAGTTTATTACTTTTTTGTATAAATACAAGTAGGTGTTGAAACTTGGAAGTAAAAAAATG